GGGGGGGACACAGAGGGGACACAGGGGCCACTCACCCTCCGGCCTCTCGTCGAAGTCCTCGTCCTCCTCCTCGGAGCCCACCGAGTACTCGGACTGGTTGTCTGGGGGGCACCGTCAGCACCGGGCACACAGCACCCCCAGCGCCTCCCAGTGACCCCCAGTATCCCCCCAGTCCCTCCCAGTACCCTCCCAGTGCCTCCCAGTGCCCACCTTGGTCCTCCCGGGTGGTGTCGTTGCAGTTGACCCACTTTGGGACGCCCTTGCCCTTGCCCAGGCTCTGCACCAGTCCCTCCCAGTGTCATCCTAATGCCTCTCAGTGCCCTCTCAGTGCCTCTCAGTGCCTCCCAGTGCGTTCCAGTGCCATCCTAGTCCCTCCCAGTACCATCCCAGTGCGTCCCAGTGCCCACCTTGGTCCTCCTGGGTGGTGTCGTTGCAGTTGATCCGCTTTGGGACGCGCTTGCCCTTGCCCAGGTTCTGCACCAGTGCCCTCCCAGTACCATCCTAGTACCTCCCAGTCTGTCCCAATGTCTCCCAGTCTCTCCCAGTGCCATCCTAATGCCTCCCAGTGCCCTCCCAGTCCCTCCCAGTGCCCACCTTGGTCCTCCTGGGCGGCGTCGTTGTAGTTGACCTGTTTTCTGACGCGCTTGCCCTTGCCCAGGTTCCGGGCCAGGTCCTCCTGCTGCTGCTCGTAGTGGTGGCGCAGCAGCTTCTCCCAGTAGTCGGGGTCCACGTTCTCCTCCTGCTTGATGATCTCCCGCTCGATCTCCTCGATCTGCCCGGACACGGACCCGTCAGCGCTCGCCCGGGGCACCCCGGGGGTCTCCGTGGGACTGGGGGGTCCCCGTGGGTCTGGGGGGTCCCCAAGGGCCTGGGAGGTCCTCATGGGCCTGGGGGGTCCCCACTGGCCCCGTCAGCGCCTACCCGGGGCACCTCAGGGGTCCTCATGAGCCTGGGGGTCCCCAAGGGTCTGGGGGGTCCCTGTGGGCCTGGGGGGTCCCCGTGGGTCTGGGGGGTCCCCAAGGGCCTGGGGGGTCCCTGTGGGCATGGGGGGTCTCCGTGGGCATGGGGGGTCCCCGTGGGCCAGGGGGGTCCCCGTGGGCCTGGGGGGTCCCCAAGGGCCTGGGGGGTCTCCGTGGGCCTGGGGGGTC